GTGTTTGGTGACCCTGGATGGATTCCAGCTCCTTCCAAAACCATGTTGTCACTCCCCTCCTCAGCTGGCCAGGGAAGAAAAAAGATAATGAAAGGCTTCTGGGCTGAGATAAGGACAAGGAGAGATCACTCATCTATTAATTACTGTCATGGACAAAACAGATTCAACTTGGGGAAAATAAATTTCTTACCAATCAGGATTAGGGAAATGAGAAATTAAAAACAACTCTTTAAAAATCCCACCGTCCCTCGCCTGTCTCTTCTTCCTGAGCTCAACTTCATTCCTAATTTCCTCTGCCTCCTCCCCCCCAGCAGCACAGGTGAATAGGGAAAGGGGTTTGCCGTCAGTTCATCTCAGGTTGTCCCTGTAGCTCCTTCCCCCTCGCAGGGAGGACTCCTCACACTCTTCTCTGGCTCCTGCTCGAGGTCCCTCCCTCAGGAGGCAGTCCTTTGTAAACTTTTCCAAGGAGGCTCCTTCCCACATTCTGCAGTTCTTTACAAGCTGCTCCAGCACACCTACCTTCCTCAGGGAGCAATCCTTCAAGCACAGCCTGCTCTGGCAAGGACCCTGACAGGGTCACAAACCCTGCTAGGAAACTTGCTCCAGCAAGAACTCCTCTCTCCATAGAGCTACAGGTCCTGCCAGGACCCTGCTCCAGTGTGGACTTCCCATGGGGTTGCAGCCACCTTTGGGCATCCACCTGCTCCAATATGTGCTCCTCAATGGGTTGCAGGAGGATCTCTGCTCCTCCATGGGCCCGTGGGCAGGTTTCCATGGGTTCCAGGGGCACAGCTGTCTCACTGTGGTCTGCACTAGGGGCTGCAGAGGAATCCCAGCTCCAGCATGTGGTGCCCTCCCACGCCTCTCTCTTCACTGACCTGGTACCTACTGATGTCTCTCACAGTTCTCAATTCTGTCTTCCCTGGCTGTGGCTGCTGTTGCTCAGAATGTTTTTTCCCTTTATTAAATACGTTATCCCAGAGATGATATCATCATCACCCATATCATCATCACCCTTGGGCTCAGCCTTGTCCAGCAGCAAGTCCATCTTGGAGCTGGCTGGCACAGGCTCTGTCACACATGTTGGGAAGTTCCTGGCATCTTCATACAGAATCCCACCCCCACCCTCCTCCAGCTACCAAAAACTTGCCATAGACTTTCCTACTTTAGAAAACGCCTCATACAAAGTTTTGTGGATTTTGCTTTCTCTGCTTTCTAAAAGAGATTGGTATTACAAGGATGAGTATCCTTTAGCCAGAGAAAATGAAAGAGTTTTGTAGCTCTGAAGAAACAGGGCCGGGATAGAGTGAGTAACTGTCAGCTTGAAATACTAAACAGCACTGGGGTACTATCAGTACAGATTTACTGCATCTCAGTAACAGATCACATTGTTCTGAAGTATCACTTCTATGAGTGGAAATCACCACCAAGAACAACCCAGGTTCTGTAAAAACATCAAGTTAGAAAGATACTATACCTGAAATAAAAACTCAAGGTCACACTGTAAGCATACATTAGTGTACCACATATACTCCACTTTTGTGTAAACTTACGTTTATACATTCTGATTTAAATGCCACAGTAACGACATTGTAGTCATAGAAATACTCAACAGGCCAAGTCTGTTTTAATTACAATTACAGATTAGATGTCTAATTCCTAGTCCTTCCTTTCATATCCTTTTATTCCCATGCCAAAGAAAATACATTGTGAGGCATTTATATTTGTATATACTGTTCTCTGGATTACATGTCTAGCCTGATAAATTCATTAACAAGACAAGTAGTACAAATTTTGGCTCTGCATCTCTTTCACTAAAGCTCATTGTTTCCTTTTCTTCCTTACTTAATTTGTCTGTGTTGGAATGCATTCAGCATTTTTGCTGTTTTCAGACACAATGAAAGTGGGGGGCTGGACGTGTACACCAGTGCTGGCAGCCAGGAGCAGTACTATTGCCCTGCTCTTGCATCCTTCCTGAATGGGAAAACTAGGTCAACTGATAGTCCAGATTCTCCATGTGACCAGCACAGGGCAGGGTGGGTGGAAGAAGGCCAGCACAGTGCTTCTTCAGCAGAACAAATAAAGAAGAAACCAATATGTGTAAATGTATGCACATTTCAAATTTGTGAAATAACTTACAAGGAGAATCTCTCAGGAACGAGGAAAAGAAAGAAGAGGAAAAGAAAATCTAAGCTTTACTAAGGAAAACAAAACCAAACCAACAAAGAAACAAAGAAAACCACCAAAAAAACCCCAAACAAACCATGTGAGAGCGGGTTAAGTGTCTATAATCTAAGTTTCAGCTGAAAAAGAAACTTATTTGTTTTGCCATAAACTGGGTTCAGCCATTTTTCTCAGAGAAGGTTTGTGTCTCATGCCTTGGGCCCAGCAATGGCAGACCTAGCTGTATAAAGAGCAGTGATGATGAAGATGTTACCTACCTCTGTAGTCCAATCACTTTACCGTGATACAGGCATCAGTACGGCAACATTGCTGAATGCAAAGCCAAAAAACAGAAAACTATTCAAAAGTTAGGACATTTACATTTTAACTGTTCTTTTCTTTGGAAACAATGGAAAGTGTTCCTCCTTCCTTAGAGATCTGCAAGAGTCCTTGGAAAACCCAAGAAACCCAGCTCAAATTCAGTGTTGATCCTGTTGAGAGCAAGAGGCTGGACTAGAGGATCTTCCAGCCTTCATCAGTCCAATGACTGATTTTTGATAACTGCCTTTCTACAGCGTTGAATAGCCTTTAAAGTTACTTTCAGAACAGCAGAAATATCTAGAATTCATTAGAATATCAGCACTTCATAGAGCTGCAGCTATGTCTGTGCACCTCCCACTCCCCCATCTAGCAGACACACTGCTGCTGATGCTGCCTCACGCCGTGCCACATCGGCTCCTCCACCACCTCGGAGGAACCAGGGGCCTCATTTCAAACCAGCCACACCACAGGCATCATTCAACCCAACTCAATTAAAATAGCACAAACTCACAAGTTGATTAAAATTATGCACTTCAATGAAGTTTAATGTGCTGGTGGATTATGTTTATGAATTTATGGCAGATCAAACAAGAATTAAACCCAAATGGGTATATGTGTACATACATACATACATAAAGTCAGTTTAAATAAATACAAAATTTCAAATATATCATTAAGGGTCAATTTATATGAACAGAAGGTTGTAGCTTGGCCCTCTGCGATCTTAACTTTCTCTTTTATCAACCTTTTTACCACATGAGGACTCTATTTTATAACGAAGTACTAATATATGAATCTGCAAATACTATTGATATTTCATTTTCTATGAAGTATTTATAAATTACATCAAGTCAGGATAGACTTGGGTAGACATGGCATATCACTGAAGTAAGCAACACAGACTTTAACAATAATCCCCATTTATTTCAGAAACAGTACATTTAAGAAATACTTGACCTGTGCAGCCACAGACTCCATAAATAGTTTTGTGGATAATAAATTATCCACAAAATAAGTTAATACTAAATAGTTAGTATTGTGCAACCAAACCCATAACACCCACAGGTTTCAAAGTGCTTAGCAAGACAACAGATGATGGTTCCCATTTTACGATGGGAACAGCAGAAACAGAAAACTCAGGTGGCTTGTCTGAGGTCTTACTGAAAATCAGTGTCACAAATGTGGAAAAGGGCTGGAGAATCCTGACTCTCAAACCAGCCTTGAGCCACAGATAACTTCACTGTGACTAAATTTACAAACAGAATTTAAGACCAAAAAGCATCTTGGTTCTTTCAGCTCAAATAAGGAACAAAAATATCTCATTGATACGAGATATGGTCATTACAGCAGCAATCTGCAGATCAGTAAGACCAGATACAGATATCCCAAAATCACTCATGGGGAAAGGCTCCTTAATAAAAGACAGGTGGCAGAGCAATACTCCAGGGAAACCCCCAAAATTCCAGGCAGCATTTCTGAGTTGCAGGAGTTTCTGCAGAGAGCCCTGCACTTGCAAACACTTCCCTCATGCTGGAATGTGGGAAGGCCAGCTGCGAGAGGGCTCCTGAGCCACTTCACTACCAGGAAGCCTGGCTTCCCTGTTTGCATGGCAAACAGGGGCTGTTGGAGAATTCTGCTCTGCAGGTGAACCAGGGCCCATTCTGAGATCGTGGGTCTGCCTGGGATCATGGCAGTGCACAGCCACGGGACTTGCACAGAAAGACACTTCATGCAGAGTCTTCATTTCTGCAATATGGCTACTCTCATGATTACTGATCAACTTCGTGTGTTGTACACTTCAACAAAGCACCACACTGCTGAACACCAGCTAGAAATAGCACTTGTTGTCCACTGTGTGTAGACACACTGTCTCAAGAGGACTGGGAATTTCACAGAAAGATATTCCTACAGGCAGAGATAGAAATGAAGATTGGCATGGGTACCTCATCCAAGTGGCTGCAGAGACTGCCCTTAGGGCACACACGTATTCTGCCTTTGGAGAGCACACAACTGTGTGCACTCAACAGTGCACAACTGTTTCAACCAACTTTCATTGTTTGTGAAACCAACAGTGTTGGCACAGCACCTGATCAGATGCTTTGTGGAAAGAAAAGCAACACACAAGTTAGCTGGGAGAAGGGAACAATGGTATACACAATGAAGTGTACAGGGATCTTCTTTCCCTTTTATCATCCAGTCGTATTTACATTGCAAACATCTATGCAGCTCCCACAGATGAGAAGTGTGGAACTTCAGGTGAGGTCACATGGCTCATTTGGTGTCATGCTGATCTCTTGGTTTTTCCTGTGAGATGGGCACTTGCAGCTTTCCTGAGGTAGCAGATACAGAGGTCTTCCCTTTATTCCTTTAGGAAAAGCAAAAGTGAAGGAAAAGAGGACAGGCAGACAGAAGTGCTGGAGCTTCTTATAAAAGATACAAACACACTTGAAGCAAAATACATTTCTGAAATATTCCACTGGGACAGACAGCACAAGAGGCTCCAAAAGCAAACTTCATCATCTCAAAATCACCCTGAAGACAATTACAGGTTTATTGTGGCAAAACAGTTAATCAGAGAGGAATTACTTTTCATAAATAAATAGCCAAGGCTCCTGGCTCTGCAGGGCCCTGGGCGTTATATCGAATGGACTTCTTTCTCACTGCCATCCTGCAGCAGGTCCAGGCAGCAGAACTGCAGGTGCTGTGCACACAGCACTGACAGCAGAGAACACAGCACTGCTATGTCAAGGCATTCGTAGAACTTAAGTGCAGAAAGTGTTCATCAGAAGACAGACGCACCCACTCCTTCTGTTTTTCTGCCACCTTTTCTGCCAAGCACTTTACCAGGACGGGATCCACTTTGGAGTCAATCTTGTTGGCAAACCAGTGTCCGTAATTCAGAAGCCACCTTAATTCTCCGGCCCCGTAGATGCAGACACTGCGAAGGTGGGTACCAGTGCATGGAGGATATAAATAGTCTTCAAGATAGTTCCATTTCACCAGACGAGTTTTGCTTTGTAAGTCTGTTACATCCTGGGATGACCTTGGAACTTCCCCAGGGACCCCGGGGACACGTACAAGAGTGGCCCAGAAATGTTCATCTGGAGAGTACGTGTCCCTTGACCACTCAAAAAAATCTTTTGCAAGTGAACTTTCAAGGGTATATTGAATAAATTCTCGGCTTAAAACAAAATAGGCACTGCCTACAAATACCTCAATATCATGAGGTGGCGGATTCTTGGAAATGTTGGTTTTTACAGGCATCTGCATGTATTCATAAGGCACTTTCATAAGTTCATAGTGATAAGTAAATCGTTCTCTTTTGCTACTGCTTGGCTTAGAAGTTTCCAGCATGTTTCCTCCACGAAGTTTCTTCAGTTCAGTGACCAACTCGAAATTTGATCTCAAAGGGAAATCTTGGCCACACAAGTTGATAACATACTTCCAAGGAACTGGAGAGCCCATCAAATCGGACAAACAATTGAAATCTGCTTGCAGACGTGAAATATGTGCATAGTCCACCATCTCCAATTTTGATGCAATGAAAACATTTGGGAAACATTTAGCTAGATTGTTCAAAGCAGATTTGAAACTTTTTGCTGCTTTTTGGTCGTAATGGATGCAGTAAATATTTTGATGACTGTACAATGAATGTATCAGCCTTTCTACCATTGCTGCATCTTTGTGAACAACCAAAGAATAGGCAATTGGAAAACCCTCCTCCTCTGAAGAAACAGGTTTTAGGTGGTATTTCCTAAGTGAACGATACACGTGACAGTCACTTGTCATTGCTACAACATCTTCATCAGATAAATCAATTATTTCTTTTCTTCTTATCTCTAAACTCTTGCCAATTTCACGAGGATCTTGTTCATATATAGATGAACAATTAATTTCATACTGGAACTCATTTCTAGGGTATGAATATCTGTTTCTAACATAAGAAGAAGTGCTCAAGAGGTGCTCAACTAAGTAGATGCCTTTAGAGGGAAAAAAGTGTCTTTCGACATGGAGGAGCTTCAGCAGTGCAATCAGCCACCCAGTAACACACAGAATCAAGATCTTCCTTCGTGAGGGACATTTGTAGGACCACTTGCATTTCTTCATTCTGCAAGAAAAAAGAGATGTGGTGCTACATTAAATCAGAAATCATCAGCGACCACTCAACCTCTAAGAAAGGCACGTGCACACTAGTCTGCCTACAACATAAACACCACCTTATTAGGAAGGGCACTGGTAATGTCTAATTTCTTCCTAATCATAATTTTAAAATTTAATTCCCCTGAATTAGTTAAGTGGCAATAAACCAGATGATTTCCAACCAAACAAGAGTATCAGAACAAGACTCACACTGTTTTTTTTCCCAAACCTTTTTAAAATTTCGAATGAGCCAGAAATTGAAGTACAGCAACCCCTGGATTGGCAAAAACATTACTGTCATCCATGTGAGTAGGGAGGATTTTTTATTTTCCTGAGTAACTAGAAGTTACGCAGGAATCAGTGTAGTATCAGATGTAGGAATCAGATCAGTGGGATCAGCATAAGGATGTCAAGGAAGTCTGCAAAGAATGTGTGCCTAATGGTAGATATTAGTATTTTTTTTTTTAAAAAAAAAGCATGAAACTGAAAGCTTTAGAATTCAAACACTGCATTCTCATTATCACTAGCACTGGAGCTGGCTCCTAAAGACGTCCAAGGAGAAATTAATTTCCTTCCTCTCCTGTTCCAACAGGATCTGACAAGCCAAAAGTCCTTTCTACAGATTTCTTCTGGAAGGTATTTCTAACTTGCTCTGAAGACAGAGGTGGATAAAGACATAGCACTTTCATCCACTGGTATGAACATCTAAGGAATGTACCCTTCTGAAGGCAGAAGGGGTATAGTAATAGTGCATCTACCCTGCTCTCTGCCATGTGATACAACCTTGGATGTGACCACAAAGACACATGTGGCCACTTTTCATACAGCATGTTATTAAAAAACATTCCTGTGTACAGCATTAACAACTGAGATATTACCACAATAAAAGCTAAATACAGAGATCCTATTCCATATATCTTTGCTTTACTGGCTGAGTGCAATCAGCATTGTTACTATCCCTGAATTAAAATTATAGAATTCTACAGAACCACATACAAGTGCAGCAGTAAACCTAGCTCTGCTCAGCTTAAACAAAGTTCTACTTTGTCTTTAAACTGAACACCTCCCAGTACTTTCTTTTGAATAGAAGCTGTTTCAGAGTGCTTCCAGAGCCAGCGAAATGGTGGGGCCAGCAGATGTGTCTCAGATGCCTGCACATCTCACTTGTGCATCTAAAACCAAGCACTGAGATGTGCATCTGAATGAATATATTGCAGGACTAACTTTGGCATCTTTAGCATTCCCTTAAATGTCAGGTCTTGCGAGCTGTAGCTACATTTAAATTGCAGCTTGTTAAGGCAGAGTTTTTTCTGTTCTCCCTTGACTTTGCCTTTCCCTTTCCCTGTGCATCTTTGTCCTTAATATTTCTATTCTAGGGCAACAAAAAGATGGAAATGTTATCTCCTTATTTTACCTGGGGGTTGGCAGGTACAGACCAGGGTAAGCCAACACATACCTATTTCACAGAAACCAAAGCTCAACAACTCTGCAGGTTTTAGAAACAGTCTCCAGGTATGCTAACAAAGAGAGAGAAAAATCAGATCTCACAGAATCATAGAATAGTTTGAATTTGAAAGGATCTTAAAGATAATCTCATTCCAAAATCCCTGCCCTGAGCAGGGAACTTCCCCCTTGAACAGGCCTTGAACAATTCCAGGGATGGGGAATCCACAACTTCTCTGGGCAACCTGTTGCAATGCCTCATCATCCTCAAAATAAAGTGAGGCATTTGTATCCCTATGAAACCAAAAATCCCACATTCTACCATAGCAAGCAGGTGCTTTCCTTCATCTCTTCTTCAAATTAATCCCAGTCCAGTGTCTAATCTGGATTTCTCCTTTACCTACTTGCTTTGTGTATATGTACTCCTGGAGAAAAATCACTTTTAAAAGCTGCTCCTAACCAAAGGCAGGTTTTCTGCCATATGAAAAGAGCCCCTGTAGAGGGGAAGGCAAGTAACCTACCCTGTTTATTTCTTTGGAGGGAGAAGACCTGTGTTGTGTGGCCTTTCTGTGAAGACCACCCCAAGTCCCTGCCCAGTGTCTCCCTGGTACCAGGGACAACACCTACCACTCCTGGCTGAACGGGGATTGCCTAAATCAAGGAGCAAATTTTCTCTTTCTCCTTAAAAAGGCAAATTTGGACAAAGAAAAAGGAGGAGGAAAGAACCAACACATTCCAAACTTCTCCCAAACCTCTCTATCTGTGTCAGCCCTGGCCAGCTTCTGCCCAGTGCCAAACATTCTGTTGCTATGAAACCAAACAAAGCCATAGAATTTAGAATGTCCTGAGTTGGAAAGGGCCCACAAAATCATTGAACTACGACTCCTGGCCCAGCACAGGATACCCCAAGAGTCACACCATGTACCTGAGAGCACAGTCCACCTCAGAGTACTGAACTCTGTCAGGCTGCTGCTGTGATCCCTTGCCTAGGGGGCTTCTTCCAGTGCCCAGACATGCTCTGGGTGAAGACCCTTTGCCTTATACTTAAACCTCTCCCAACACAACTTCAGATTGTTCCCTTGGGTCCTGCCACTGTTCACCACAGATCAGAAATCACTCCTCTTCCCCTCACAAGGGAGTTGTAGGTCTCCAGGAGAGCTCCCCTCTGTCTCCTCCAGGCTGAACAGACCAAGTGACCTCAGCTGCTCCTCATACAACTTCCCCTCCAGATCCTTCACCATCCTCATGGCTCTCCTTTGGACACTCTCCAATAGTTTTATATCTCTCTTATATTGTGGCACCCAGAGCTGTCCCCAGCACTGGAGGTGAGGCTGCCCCAGCTCAGAGCAGAGCAGGACAATCCCCTCCCTTGCCTGGCTGATGCTGTGCCTGATGTCCCCAGGACACGGGTGGCCCCCCTGGCTGCCAGGAGGAGGAGCACTGCTGGCTCGTGTTCAGCTTGCTACAAATCAGGACCCACTGGTCTGATTCCACAGGGCTGCTCTCCCAGCCTTTCACATCCCAGTCTGTCCATACATCCAGGCTTGCCCTGTCCCAGGTGCAGAATCCAGCACCTGTTTTTGTCAAATTTCATATGATTGGTGATTGCCCAGCCCTCTGATTAGCTGAGATCTCTCTGCAGGGCCTCTCTGCCTTCTACAGCTACTCCCAATTTAGTGTCCTAGTTTATATTTTTGAGTATATCTTTGAGTTTATCTTGAGTTCCATATCCAAGACATTAGTGAAGATTTTGAAGAGCACTGCCCCTGTGGAACCCCAGTGGTGACAGGTCACCAGCCTGATGCCACCCCATCCACTGTAACCCTTTGTGTCTGACCCATCAGCCAGCTGTTCACCCATCACATGACATATCCAGAGGGATCCTGTGAGAGACAGTATCAGAAGCTACACTGAAATCCAAAAAGATACGTCATATCGCACCATCAACTAGGTGAGATACCTTGTCATAAAAGGGAATTAGTGTGTCAAGCAGGACCCTCCCTTCATGAAGCTATGCTGGCTATGACCAATGACTGCATTTTCTTTCAGGGGTTTTCATTAACTCCCAGAATAATCTTCTCCATAATTTAACCAGGCACTGGAGTGAGACTGACAGTACTGTAGTTACCAGGGTCATCCCTCTTGCCATGGAGGAATTCTTCCTCATATCCAACCTGAACTTGCCCTGGTGCAGATTAAGGCCATTTCTTATCCTGTTGCTGGTTGTCTGAGAGAAGAGGCTGACCTTCACCTTGCTACAACCTTCCTTCAGGTAGCTGTAGAGGGCAGTAAGGTCTCCCCTGAGCCTCTTCTTCTCTAGGCTAAAAAACCCTATCTCCCTCAGTCACTCTTCATATGACTTACTTTCTAGACCCTTCATCACATTTGTTTCCCTTCTAAATAATTTATCAGTATAAAGTCAACTTCAGCAAAAACTGGGATTTCTTGATAAACAGTATGAGACCAGGGAATTAAACCTCTTGGAACAGAAGGGCCATCACAAACCTCATCAGGTTTTGACTCAGCTGCAAAACTTTATTTTTAACACATGCAGACTCGAAGCCCTACTCGGACACAGAGGTTTACTGTACACACCATCCTCTCCAGAGGAGCACAGAATAAATGAATGTGGCAGGTGAGAACAGCAACCTACTGCTGCCCAAAGCACTTATCTTGGGGAGCATTAACCAGATGCTAACTCTAGTTATCTTTTTGGGTTCCATGGGCAGGAGCATTTCCACTTGACTACTTGAGGCTGTCACATAAAATCTAGTCATATTTAATGTTAGGAAGCAGAGCTTAATATGGTGAAACTACCCAGACTACTTCTAACTACTTCTAGATTTGGCCTTGAAAAAATCGGCAGAGAACCTGTTCTGCATCCTAGTAGTTCTGCTATGCACATGAGACCCACTTTGCCCAAACTAAGCATGCGAAGCACTGCAGCAGGTGGAAAGATACCAGGAACTTCACCAGTTCATCCCAAAGCGTGAACTGTGAGATGGGCTGGATGAAGCATCCTTTGGAAGATCATGGTCACAACAAACAGAAGCCAGGAAAAAGCCCAGCTTTTGCACCACAACTGCCAGCTCTCCCAGCTCTGCTAGCAATGGGACAGCCTTGTTGCACCTCTAATGTGAAGAATTCCAGGGGTAGCAGTATTGCACTCAACCCTGATCCTTTGCCAGGAGCACCCCAGCAGCTCCTTCTTCCCAGAGTGGCACTCAGGTACGACAGAGAAAAGCCAGGAAGTTGCTCTGGCCAGCACAAATCTGAGTTAGCTCAGAGAACCAAGATTCTGCTCTGGTTGGCCTCCAATGGCTCTTATACACCAGCGCTGCAGCAGCTTCAGCCCTCTTGGAGGCCACCCTTCTGTAATGTTTGAGGAGGCATTTGAGAGCTCAGAGGAATGGACAGGTTCCCTTCATCAGCATAAAGAAACTGTCAGGCTTTGGGCTCACACTGTGTCTCTGAAGACGCGTTTTCACATTAGTAAGACTAATAATGTACATATGGAGACCTGCAGTAAAGCCATGTGAGAGACCAGGGCTTTACTACTGTTTCTCACACAATTACTTTTGCTTTTTCCACAAATTACCCAAACTCCCAGTCTGTGCAACTTTGTGATGCCAATGTCACTCTTGCACACGAGGAGTCTACAGCTCCCTTCACCCTGAGCAGGAACAAATTACCAGCTCTCACATCCTTCTTGCTTGGCATGGCAAGTGTCACCTGCCATCCACACAGTGCAGAGGTGTTTACAGTTTGTCTGTATTCAGAGCACACTGAATTAGCAGCTTCTGAACTACCTTGTTTGAGAAAATACAGAATTTTTCAACCCCCCAGCATTCCATTCCCTTTCCTCATTGTCTCTTCTGATACAGCCTGTGCTGCATTAAACTCAAGTGCTTCAGTGACAAAAGGTAGAAGCTTCCAGGTGGATCTACAATTCCCACAAGCTCCCTGGATGTTGCCTGCAGGTTGGGGCCATGATGAATCATCTGGGTCCACCACAGGAAGCACAGAGCCTGGTGGAGCTAAGACACCAGATACACCACCAGGAAGAAGGATAAAACTCATGCTTTGAAGGTTGGGTTTTGTTCAGGAAAAAATAAGAGATCTCTGCTCAAAGAGAATGACACCACAAAGAGGGAAAGGTGTTCCTTTGGTGTTGGAAGCAACTGGCTTAGCAGCAGACATGGAGGCAGAAGCACCTGAGGAAGTCTGAAACCTCTCTGCCTGCAATAACCAATGCATCACAATTTTCCTGAGGAACACAAGGTGTGTATCAATCTCCACTGGCCTCCCTGCTCTGCCCTCTGCCAGTCCTTCCCAAAGGACCAGCTCAATAGGCAAGCAAAAGTCCAATCTCAACCCCCAGCTACACTACAGAAAACAAAAGCCAGGATCTCTCCTAATGCATAACCTTATCAAATTTATAACACTTATTTTCTACTTAAGCAATACCAATCAAAGAGGTCCCTGACTTTCAATAGATCCACAAAATTATTTTTGGTGTCATGTAAGAGAGCCAGCTGCTGGGAACCATCTCTTGTCTGTTGTCACTTCTGCTTGGGACTGGTTTACCGAGGGCATGGACTGACATGTTGATTGCTGCTAGAACAGGGATTCTTGGAAAGTTCAGGCTGCGATCAGGCAGTGCTCTCTCCTCAGTGGATCTGAAATACATGGTGCTTGCTATGAAAGCTGGTGTGAGGCACCTGCTTCTGTGCTTGCCACAGAGCAAGAGTTAAGTGAAAATGTCAGGTTTGAGGGCAAGTCTGTGGAAGGAGACAAAAGAGAGAGAGCAGATGTAGGGGAATGGGAGTGCTTTTACCCCAACGTGTGATTTTTTTCTTGCATGAAGAAACCCTTCTGATTATGTGCAGTATGAATCAAGCTCCTTGTTGTCACCTAGGTTAAAAAAAAATTAAAAGGGAATGGGTGCTGAGAAGAGCAGGAGCAGCAGAACAGAGGTTGGGAAATTACAGAAGAGGAGAATGGAGAGAGGGATTGATAAGGGTAAATACTTTCATGTAAGTAGCATTAACAACAACAATAAAAATCAGAGCAGAAGAAAAAGTACTTTCTCCAACCTGTTACACCCCCATCACTCAAAGGTATCTGAGGCAAAAACAGTGTCTACACCTTTCCTTGGAAACAGGTCATATTCAGCAGCCAACACCATTACTACATAAAGCAGGAACTATGGGAACAATTTTCTCTCCTCCAAGTAAAAACACTTCAGGAAAGTTCCTCCTGATAAAATATCTCTGTTTGTTTAAAACACACCTGCTCACACAGCAATGCAAACTTTGTGGTTTGCAGGACCAGCTCTGTGCAAAAATTTAGTTAGCTCCTCCTGGTTTTCCCTCTAGTCTATACAAATCAAGTCTGGGTCTTGATAGGTCTGTGGGAAAGACAGAGGGGATGATGTTCCAGGAAAATTAGGGAAGAGGAAAAGTAATCATGTGCTTTCCTAAGCTATTTATTCTAATTTTTTTGTAAACTATCTGTCTGAATTAAACTTCAAACACTACTTAACGATTCAACACTGCTAACTGGAAAAGTTAATTTATTAATGTGTTATTTTTTACTGCTGCTAGCTACTTATTTCCATTGCAAAATTATTGATTGATAGGGATCATGGGATTTCTGTAGGAGTATGTTTTATTGGCATCAAATCTCAATCAGTAGATTCTATCAAGTTTGTCTGGTTTTCCACCCACTTGCCCTGCACTGGAGCCTCAGGCTGTGCCCCTCTAACACAGTCACACTTAGCACCAGCCTCA